CCCCCCAGCTGCCCCAGCCTGATGTTCCCCCAGTTCTCCCAGCCCAGTGTCCCCCAAAGCCCAGTGTCCCCCCAGCTCTCCCAGCCCAGTGTCCCCCCTAGCCTGGTCTCCTCCCAGCAGCCCAGTGTCCCCCCAGTTCCCCCAGCCCAGTGTCCTCCCAGCAGCTCAGTGTCCCCCCAGCTGCCCCAGTCCCTTGTCCCCCAGCCCAGTGTCCCCCCAGCTGCCCCAGCCCGGTGTCCCCCAAAACCCAGTGTCCCCTGGCTCCCCCAGCATGGTGTCCTCCCAGCAGCCCAGTGTCCCCTGGCTCTCCCAGCCCAGTGTCCCTCTCAGCCTGGCGTCCCCTGGCTCCCCCAGCCCAGTGTCCCCCTGTCTCTCCCAGCCTGGTGTCCCCCCAGTTCCCCCAGCCTAGTGTCCCCTGGCTCCTCCAGCCCAGTGTCTCCCCAGCTGCCCCAGCCTGATGTTCCCCCAGTTCTCCCAGCCCAGTGTCCCCCAAAGCCCAGTTTGCCCCCAGCTCTCCCAGCCCAGTGTCCCCCCTATCCCCCCTAGCCTGGTGTCCCCCCAGTAGCCCAGTGTCCCCCCAGTTCCCCCAGCCTAGTATCCCCTGTCTCCTCCAGCCCAGTGTCCCCCCGGCTGCCCCAGCCCAGTGTCCCCCCAGCCCGCTCCCACCCTGGCCCCAGCAGCAGCAGACCCGAGCGGCTGGGGAAGGGGGTATTGGCAACAGCCCTATAGCTATAGCTCTGTCCCGGGCACCGGCTCTGTCCCCTCGGTGGCTGCCTGCTGCCTGCACACAACCGGCAGAGGCTTCAAGCTATAGCGGGCACTGATGTTGGTACCCGAGACGCTGCGGTATTCGCCCATCTCCGTACGGACGGCTTCGTTCTGGGTGATGGTGAGCAGGACCGGGACGGAGAGCGTCACCTCCTTCCGCAAGACCTGGATGCTGAGAGCCGTGCGCGGCGGGATCTTGGCTGGCAGCTGCACCTCCACGCGTTCCCGGCGGGTGCTGGATTCGCTGCGCCCTTTCTGTACCGTGAAGATGTTGGAGGCTTCCACGATCAGCGTGAAGGAGAGCCCGGCTCTGGTGCCGTTGCTGAAGTGGAAGCTCTGCCAGAGCGTGGTGCTGTCCTCCCGGCTGCTGCTGGCCGCCAGAACCTGCTCCGACTCCGTCTCGTTCACCCCCTCGATCTCATCCACCAGCACCTCCCGCTCCTCCTCCACCCGCTTCTGCTCCCAGAGGAGACGTGCCGAGACCAGGGGCTGCCCGGGCCGCAGTGGGCGCAGGTGGGACAACCGAGCCTGGAAGTTCAGCTCGGGTTTGTAGTCGGCCAGATGCTCTCCGGGCCATGCCAGGCAGTGCCAACCGCCCCGGCCGGGGTGCTGGTAGAGCAGCCAGACGCCTCGCTGCACCACGTGGGAGGCCACTCGGTCGTTGAAGTACCCGTACGCCAAGTTGGTCTCCTCCGTCACCACCTTGCAGGCACCCTGGAAGTTGGGGCGCTCATAGAGGGTGATCTGGGGGTCCCCCAGGTCATGGAGCACGAGGCGCAGCGCCGAGAAGCTGTTGGGCCGCTCCACGGAGGGGTACTCGCCCTCCTCAAAGGCGTACGACTCCCCCTCGTACTTGGGGTCCACGTAGGCGATCCAGGGCTGCCCCACCACCTTCAGGGAGGCGATGCAGTCCCCAAAATCCAGCTCGTGTAGGTCGGGCACGTCGCAGGTGAACTCCCGGCTCAGCCCCTCAAAGTTGGCACGCTCGTACACCGTGATTCGGTTCATGGTGCCGCGGGCGCCTGCCCCTGCGAGGGCACAGTGCGCGTGAAGTCCCCTCGCGTGAGGTCGCGTGGGCACTACAGGAAACCCGTGGGGAAAGCCTGGCCAGCAACGGGGCCCTCTTTCCTCCTCTGCCCCCCCTTTGCCCACCTCAGCCCGGTCCCCGCGCTCTCACCGTCTGTGCCGGCAGTGCCCCGACACCAGCCCACGGCCGTGCCTTTTACGAAGGGTTGGCGGGGCCAGGGCGTGCTGCGGCACGAAGCGAAGGCGATGACAGAGCTCACCCCCACGCCCGCGCCCAGCCCCAGCCCCGCTCCAGTGGTGGGGAGCCAGCCAGGCCCCGCATGGCCGCACGGCAGCCGGCACACTGGGATGCCAGCCGGCCCCGCAGACCAGCCCTGCCGGAAAGTCCTGCCGCACCCTGGGCATGTGGCGCTCCAGTGTTAACAAGTCACCGCCAATTATCACTGATGCTTCCGCCCTGCCTGCGCTAATTACGGTGTGCGTTGCCGGTGGGGCAGGAACTGCCGGCTCGCCCCAGTAGGGTGAAAGGGTATCATGGTGGGGCGAGCCGGCGCCCCGAGACAAGCCCCTGCGGCACCCCAGTGCCCCCAGGCGCAGGACACGGCCCCCCTGGCATGGCACCGCTGCCGCGGCCCCGTGCCTGAGGATGGCCAGGGCAGGTGGTGGCACTTCTCCTGCCTTGTCCTACCACGGGCAGGATGGCCACGGACCACCCAGGGTGACCACGGCGCTGCTGGAGGTTGATGGGTGCCAGCACTGAGCACGGCGGGACGCTGATGCCCAGCCAGGGCACGGGAATGGCTGGCAGCCACCCTGAACACAGCGTGCCGGGGGCTTCCACAGCACGGATCGGAGCTGGCCCCCCCGGGAGCTGCTGGTGCTGGGCACAGGGGACGCGTACCCACTGGTTGGCACCCCGCTGGGGCTGGGCTCAGCAGCTTGAGGGCTCTGGGGCAGGTTGAGCCTCTGGCTTCCCTTGGACCCAGGCACACAGCCAGGAGCTGCCTCATCCCCTGATCCCCGGCCCCCCAGCCTGGGGCTGTCCCTACGGCACAGTGCAGGGAGCGGGGAACCCCAGAGCTGACAGGAGCAGCTCCTGGTGGGCTGACACCTGCCCCTTGGGGCCAGCGCGGCGCCGGGGAGCGGGGCCAGCCCCGGCTGCGTGGGGTGCCCCAGTCCCACAGGGAAACCCGGGGCTGGCGCAGCCTGCGGGCAGCCGCGTCCTGCCATGGAGGGGGATGGAGACCCTGCTGCCCCCCCAGCCTCTCCCCCCTGAGCCACCCCAAGAGAGGAACCCAGGTGTCCTGGCATCCCTGAGCCCTGTCCACCCCTAACCTGTCCCCTGCAGGCAGGTGCCACCCTACATCTCGCCCCCCCAGCTGCCTGCTGCCGGTGCTCCCCTTCCCCTGCCTGCGGTGCCAGGGCTGCCAGGGTCTCCCAGTTTATTGCCAGATGTCGGGGCGGTCGGGGTTACACCAGACAGACGCTACAGGAAGCGGTTAGTGAGCAGGGGGCCGCGGGCAGGGGCCAGGGAAGGGCTGTCTCCGCTCCCCGCGGCCGCCCCGTCCCCCCGTCCCCCAACGACCCCAGCCTTGCAGTCATGCACCCCCCGCTGCGGCGAGGCCGGCAGGCCGGGGTGGCACGGGGGGCACGGGGCAGCATGGGTGGGAGGCGGTGCTGGCATTATTGCTATGGCAGGCGGGAGCAGCGTGACCCTCCCCACGCTCAGATCACAGTCTCGAAGAGCATCGCCTTCTCCTTGGGGGGCTCCGGGGCCAGCAGCTTGGCTTCTGCCTCGGGTGTCAGGTACTCCAGGTGGTGGTGGCCCCAGATCGGAGTGGTCAGGAGCTGCCAGCGCTGCGGGGACGCCGTGTTAGCACCCAGGGACGGGAGCACTGGGGACTGCCTGGAGCCAGCACGGTGCATCCCCCGGGTGCACGGGGATGGGACCAAGGTGGGGCCAGGGGTGGGATTTGGATGGGGACAGGGGTGAGACTGGGATGGGGAAGGGATTGAAATGGGATTGAGAGAGGGAGAGGGATAGCATAGGGACAGGGATGAGACGGGGATGGGATTAAGACAGTGATGTCATGATGGGACAGGGATGGGATTCGGATGGGAGTGAGAGCAATGGGGACAGGAACGGGACTTGGATGGGGATGGGGGTGAGACTAGGATGACGAAGGGATTGAAATGGGGACAGGGATGAGATGGGGATGGGATTGAGAGAGTGATGGGGACAGGGAAAGGATTTGGCTGGGAGTGAGAGTGATAGGGATGGGGAGAGGGGCGGGATTTGGATGGGGATGGGACTGAGAGTGATGTGAGCAAGGATGGGATTCCGGTGAGGCTGGGAGTGAGACAGGGATGGAGACAGGGATGGGAATGAGATAGCGATGGGGACAGGGATGGGATTTGGCTGGGGATGGGACTAAGACAGCAACGTGGACAGTGCTGGGATTTGAAAGGGGATGGGACTGGGATGGGGACAGGGACAAGGACGGCCGAGACGGGTTGGGGACAGAGGCAGGAGGGCCCCCGCCGCACTGCCCTCACCTCGCGCAGGGAGCCTTTGCAGCGCAGGAGCTTGTAGAGGACAGTGCAGGGGATGCAGAGCATGGAGGAGAGCGCCAGGACCCAGCCGATGGCGTCCCCCCACCACGGGTACACGTACGTCTTGTTGTAGGTCAGCGGCTTGTAGTTCACCACGTGGAACACGAAGATGCCCTGGGTGGAGGGGGGGTGGTGAGGTCCCACGGTGTGTCACCCCATGGCCCTGACACGCGTGTCACCCCGTGACCCTGACACGCGTGTCACCCCATGGCTGCCGTGCCCGAAGCAGCCGCCTGGGGGAGCCCGGTGCCTGTGGCACGGGGCAGCGGGCACACACATGCACACGCCAGCACACGCGTGTCCCCGCGTGGGACGGCCCCACTCACCACGCAGACCAGCGGCGTCACCACGGCCCAGCACCACTTCATGAAGGGCAGGGGCCGGTAGCAGATCAT